ATTACTGTGTTATTTTTTACCTCTATTCTTTGTTTACAATTAAATTTGAATTTTAATCAGAAGTGCTCAATCGCATAGTACTACTAAATAAAAGTCACACGTGATGAGAAATGATTGGGAGGATTTCAATCTTTATTTCCATATCACATTTTTCATTTTCTTTAGATGTATTTAATATGTATAACTTAGCCACGTAGCTGGTGTATCAGTCTGTGAGAAGTAGACGAGTGAATCCTCTTTTCATTTGTCCATTAATGCACACTTTGAAAAGTGTGTAAATTTGTTGTACTATTCTGGCCGTGAGAGCAAATATTGGCCAGTCTTGCATGTTGCGGTTTATTCTTAGATTTGAATTTAATTATAATTCTTTATATGTGAAAGGGGGCTTTAGTTCTTCTCTCCATTCATGTATTTAGGCTCTTTTTGAGAATCAACAATAAGTGAGATTTAGAGTGAGGAAAGACAAATATTTTATATAGATTTTTACACCCAAACAACCTTGAAGTGAAGCTTAGACATCAGATATATATGCTCAAAATGGCCCGAGGTAACTGTAATCTATTCAAGATCTTCTTTTATATATTGTTTAGAATCATTCATGAAGATCAAATGTCATGCATGTTTAATGATATATGTAATCTGCTGTGATATGTTAAGGGAAATGATTTTCATACCCTCATTTTCTTCTTTTGAACATTCTTGTTTATGTATATCCATTAATTTTTTATTTATTCATTCAATCCAATAGTAAAAATAAACTGAGGTGTGTAAGTAAAGCAAAGGGGTGTGAAAAATCGCATCTTTGTTGATCTATGGTCGTTTTTTGATGCACATGCCTTTGAACTGACCAGTTTTTTTTTTTTTTTTTTTTTTTCCAATTTTTTACTATTTTATTTATAGGATCCGGATTAGATCTAAGAGCTTTATATGAGGTTTATGAATTTATATAACTTTTGTTAAGAAACAGACTTTAATTGATCTATTTTCCTAACCACTATTGTATTTCGTTTAGTTGTGTTTTTTGTCTATATTTTAGTGTTAATTTTCCAAAACCTTACCCAAATAATTCAAACTTAGTGCATTTTAATTGAATAATTATTTGAATTTTTTTTAATAATTATCGTATATGAGATTAGAACTTATGATAAGGCCTGGTTTGGTACTGAGGTGATTCTGAAAAAAGCTAGGAGTTTTTTTTGTGTTTGGTAAACATTCAGCTTCAGTTTTTTTTTCATAGTTTTGGTGAAAAAAAGCAAAAAACAAGAGGCTGCAAAACTCAACTTTGAAAAACCGATTTTTTTTCACATCTGTTTTACATAAAAGTTTACCAAACACTATAATACTGCTTTTTTTTTTTTTTTCAAAAAGCATTTTTACAAAAAAGTTTACCAAACACTCTACAACTTTATTTCACAGCCGCTTATTCTCACAGCACAGCAGAAATAGTTTTTTTTTCAAAGCACAGTAATACCAAATCAGCCCTAAATCTAATGGGTTTTACCAATAAAATTTACAACGCAACTTACAACAAAAGCACTTTAATTTTTGTTCTGTTTGGGTGGGATAATTAAAAGTGTGTACTTGTCCTGTTAGATTTTTTTCCCTATAAGTACTTCTGCATAGCTTCGCAGGAATACTTGAGTTTTATGTGCACTTCAAAACATTTCTTTTCATTATAAGTGCACTTTTCATATACACACCTCATCTTTTGGTAGAAAAGAAAAGACATATCTATAGTATAATGCCACATTTTTGCTCACCATTCTTAAGTGATGGTAATGCTTATCATCCTATTTAACACAATTGGATGAGTTTAAATTTTAAAATTTGTGTTTATTCACTACATAGATCTCTACATTGTAATAAATATGGTGGTAAGAATCACCATTGCTTGAGTGTGATGAGCAAAAATATTTCCATATTATAATTTGAAGTATATACATAAAATTGTCCTAATCCTAATCAATGGTCCTTAATTATTTGCTCTTATTCCGTATTTATTAGTAATTAACTCAAGTTGCTTTTGTTTAGACTTCACAGTTCATGATTAGGATAGGCACAATCACTCATAAAAAATTACATAAGTGACATTAAAGAAACATGCATATTGTTTAGACCTTTAAAATGGAACTTAAAATACATCGAACCTCACATATTTTGGTTATTTTGAGTAGAAAAATAAGTGCATATCAACAAAATGTGTAAGTGTACGTATATATACCAGAAAAGTTTCGTAATAAATTTTGAAAAGTGTTATTCTTCACACACTTCAATTTTTACTTCTCACACTTTTGAAATGTTTGCCATTGATATTTGTCAATTTATTCGATCCGACAGTCGAAAATTGAGAAGGGTGTGTCAGAAGTAAAAATGAGTGTATGTATAATACTACCCTAAATTATATTCAGGTAATTAGTGGTACCAATCAAGTACCATCAAAGGCTAGTTGATGAATCACCACAAGGTGGCCTAATGGTTGGAAATGAATTTTAGACCCGTATTCCACAAGGTACATCCTGAGTTTGATTCATGACGCTCATGAATAACATAATGGTGGCTAGGGATGGCCGAATGCCTTTGTGAGTCTTTTTGACCCCTAAAGGGTGGATTGCAATGACGAAGCTCCAACTGATCCTTTTTAAGAAGAAAAAAGCTAGCTGATGAAGAAAGCAAACTGCATGTCTAAACAAAAGCGTTCCGTTTTTAGAAAAACCTCGCACTTCTAACGTGGAAACTGATTTTTATACACTCAATTCTACGGTCAAGAAATATAGAGAATGTGTAGGGAGAGAAAATAGTGTGAATAATTTTTTTGATCAATTGTCAAACATGTATCCACCATAGCCACCCCACCTTTTCTCTCTCTCATCATTTCCACGTTTTTCTGCCTCTGCATGGTTGTTTAGGTGTCATTGACGAGTGCATTTCGGCTTCATTACAACATAAGAAGGTTTCAAACACATTAAACCCGCGATAAAAATTCTCACTTCATGTCTTTGTGCTATTTCTAATGAGTTGTCATTAATTAAGTTGATTAATTTCGATACGTATTGATCCAGATCATCTTTTCTAATTATTTTCATCGGACTGGTGCTTTTATTTTTTTGAGTCACAGGTGCAACGAGATCCAGAAATTCATCTGCAGCTGCAAGAAGAGGTATCGAGATCAGACATGAAAATACAGAAATCATGTTCACGGACGAAGATATTAAACCAGTCGAGAACTTATATGGACTTGAGCGAGGTCCAAATTATATTGAAGTCGTTTGTGGCTGTACGAGCAAGAAGTACGGCGATTCTGTTGGAAAGCTGAGAATTTCCTCCACAGGACAGTTTTCGATTACTTGCCAATGTCTGTCACCATCTTGCAACGAAGGTACTCACTCTAATTTATCGAACTCCCTGATATGGTATCGGTCCATCGGAGAGGTGCTTGTTTTAAACCTCAAATCTGCATTTCCCACTTCATTTTTAATTTGTAAGTTGCACACACACACACAGCCCTACATTATTTTTTCGATCAGTTTGCACTTCTCTATCTCTGGACGGGGAACGATGAAGCTGCATGTCATGAAGCTAACTTTGATACACATTGTTGGCTTATTTCTTGAGAACTAAGCAAGCTTTATGTGCAATTAACGCAGTCGGGGTCTTACAAGAGAGGGGGAAGTTGACACCAGAGGAATTCGAGAAGCATTCTAAAGAAGGGGGACCCAGAAAATGGAAGAGCAACATCTGGGTTACGATGGACGAAGATGGTCAGAAAGTACCACTGTGGAAAACTGGGCTGATGAAATTCTACAGACATGCCTCAAACGAAGGCCAGTTAGGTTCTACCATTCGGCGACGATGGAACATTCACAGGGATGAACTGCTGCGCTGCTTCAAGTGCAAGAAAGAACGCAGGTTTCGCCTGCGGACTAAAGAAGAGTGCAGAGCCTTCCATAACGCCTCAAGGAATAGAAGGTGGAAATGTGCTGATCATCCTTATGACAAGTCAGTTCCTCTCCTCATTATCCGTTTTAAATTTTTATGAAGTGAACATTCAGTTTAATGTATTGTGTCTTTTGCAGATTAAAAATCTAACATCATAACATGTTTGATTGTCGGTTGTTATATCACTTTTCGGAAACTCTAATCGTGCTGCTAATTAAATTAGGGTTTGCAATATCACTTAGTAAACCTTATTTATTTATTTTGCATGATAAAGAATAAAGTGTGGTGATGAAGAAGAGCGTGAAACTCGGAAGAGCTGCAGGAGTTGCCCTCGAGCTTCGGCTTGCCAGGGTTGCACTTCGTGCGTGTGTTTAGGGTGTCTCAATTGCCGCTACTCGGACTGCAACTGCCGCACCTGTGTTGATTTCATGCACAACGCCAAACCCTAATTAAACTCATCCCTCCTTGTATTAGCTTTAATTACCTCCTTTTGCTTCGATTTCAGAACAAGGTTATGGCTTATTTCTTCCTCCTCCTACTATCCATGTTCGTTTGATGAGATTATGTTACATATTGTTTTTAGTACTTCTACTGCATGTTTACTTGGAATCGGAAAAGTCATGAATCATAGAATGCAATGAAAGAATAGATTTTGAGATCAACTAGCCCCCCTATTTGATATGATTTCGTGTATTAGATTAGAGATTTAATTATGTGTATAAATGTCTGCTTAAACACATGAAAGTCAAGAATCAGAATAACTTCGATACTATACTCATGCAAGTAAAATTGTGGATGAAGAGAACCCAATACTAAGTTGGGAGGGTACCACAAGGGTGGTTTGTACTAGTGCCCATGTTTAGAATTAGAAAATAGACACAAATTCCAAGAAAACTTGAGAAACTAGACACAAATTCCTCTAAACTTTGCCACCAATAACAAATTTGCGCCATCGCACTTTTCGAGTAGAACGCACAACGGTTTAGTAACCTCTCAAACACCCGATGAAATAAGAACAAGCTCATCAATGCATCAATACACATGCTATATAGAAACGAGGAAGATAAATAAGAGAGTATGCTTATTCAGGATGAAATATGAACAAAGACAAAGAACTTGACATTCAAAAATATTCGATTAACTTTCAATGTCTATCGATATTCTGTTCCCTATTAATATGGGAAGGTGTACAAGATCTTCAACCTAATCAAAATTTCATACCTGCATGAATGGTTGATGAGTCTTCAGTCAACCCACTACCTGAATCAAGGTCAGACTAAAACATGTTCTACAGATATGCATAAAATGAGTTTTCACAGTTCGACTCCAAGAGATCAATTTCTCTTAAACCAAATGAATTGCATAAATGGCTCAATGATATACAGAAGTGTGCACCTGAACATGAAACTCCAAACGATGCACAAAAGTCTTTGAAACTGCAAGCAACCTACTGCCGCCCGGCGGACATGCGATTCCTTCCCCTTCCTCTTCGAGCATTACCAATGCTAACTGCCAAGGAGTTACCTACAGTTCCTATGGCACTAGGTCCCATCAGCTTCAAGCCGAAAACTTTCACCAAGTACGATAGCCTACTTTCATCTCCTCCTGTCACCAGTTCTAACCCACATGCTTGCTCACGAGATATAAATGTGTAAAGCTGCAATGGTATGGTTAAGGCATTTTGGGAGCTGCTTGTTAGCTCTTGTTTATAACTGTTTTCACTACTCCCAACACCAACTCTCATAAATCCTATTGATTTTGGGTCTTCTATTGAAGGATCAAATACACATGAAAAGTTCCCAAATTCCAAATCGGGCTTCTCAAATAGATCTTCCAGCATATCAGTGCTTGATCCAACATTCTTTTGTATGACTTTCCTCAAATAGTTTTGACTACGTCTTGTGGCACGATATATGCACGAAGCCTCTCTTAGGCCACTCAGAAAGGCCCCATGCATGGTAGCTGGATGTTGCCTGGTTGTGGCCTCACCTGCAAAGAACAGCCGGTTTCCCACACTTTCTGCGAGCAAATCATAGTCACTGCCAGATGACTGTACTCTAACATGAGAATATGAACCATAGGAAAGGGGATCACCACCCCACCTTGTACAAATGGTTTGAATTGGATTAGGTACATCAATGCCCTTAGGAGTATATATACCTGAAGTGGGAGTGAAAATTGAAAACTAAAATCTATAAGACACGAAGGAAGATCTAGATGGAAGCTTTGCAAACTTACCCAAAAAATGATGACACAGAAAAATGAAAAGAAGGGAACCACAAATCAATCATTTACTGATAAAAACATACCTCTGAGGACGCTTAAAACTCGATGGAGCAATATTGATGGCTCTGTGCACTCAAATGTCTCTGCAGCTTCTCCCGCCACCAGTGCAATAAGAACTGGACCTCCAGATACAGTATGGTATCCATAGAACAAAAAGAACTCTCCACGTTGATGGCTATGTTCATTGAGACATCCAAAAGTATCTAGTTCTTCACCCCAGAAAACATGAGGAAAAACCATAGCTACTTTGTTCAGCAGACCAAATCCCAACCTTTCAATTGCTGCGAGCTTTCTTTGGGGCAACTCGGGTTCAAATCTGATGGAACCCTTTTTCAGAACTCCAAGAGGAACAGTGCATAGGACCATGTCCCCTCGAAACACTTGGTCCCCTGCAATAACTTCAACCCCTTCATCTCCATACCTAATAGTATTGACAGTCTTTCCATAGAATATGGGAACTCTTTCACACAGTGCTCTGATCAATCTCCCATTACCTCCAGCAAGAAAACAGTGGTCCCCACCCATTTCATAAGGATCATCCTGATCCCAGTAGGCAGCTGAGAGATTTGATAGACATCCAGCATTTGCATATTCCAAATTTGCAAGATGCCAATCAAGAAGTTGCTTCTCGTCAGTGCTTCTAGCAACAGAATACAACTGCCTCAGTTTCTCCAAAACTGAACCCAGAGATATATCATTTCCAAACCCACCCATTGTCTGTCGGAGTTCCATGACTTTGTCAAGCAACTTATTAAAGATGATTTCAATGTTAGAGTCAATGTCCTTATTAACAGGTGTCCCATCAGGTTTGTACAAAGGACACTTATCTCTGACCTTATGAAGCGGAATAGAAAGTTGCCTCGCCAGAACTCCAAGTGGGTTAGCATGGATGCCAGTAATGACACTGCCGCCAAGATCCACAGCAGAAAACTTTCCATCCTTCCCCATCTTTTGGGTGTAGACTCTTCCACCTGGTCGATTCCTACCTTCTAAAACAGCCACCTTGAAACCCAATTGCATAAGCTGCCTTGCAGCCGCTAGTCCAGCAAGTCCCGCACCAACAATGATGACAGACCCTTCAGTTACCTCCTCTGGCATATTAGCCATAAATGCTGGTGCAACCCCAAAATTGATGTATCCATTATACAAAAGAAAATCATAAGCTGAAGATATCAAATGCTCATAATCACCACTCACAGTTTCTTTAATCTGCCCTTTTGAAAGCCACACTCGCACATTACTCCGCCATCTTACTAAAATATGATTTCTCACAACAATGTAATCATTCTGCTGCTTCCCACCCAACTCGGTGACCACCCCAGCTTGTTTTTCCTCCTCAAGCAGCTCATCAATGGGGAACCCGAGGGACAGTGCTATCATGGCCTCTGTTTCAGTCTCTTTCTCCAAATCCACCTTTGTTCCCTTCCTTTTCTTAAAAGTACCACCTAAATGCTTCTCTATTATATCATCCATCAAATTCTCATCATAATTGCGCAAACTTGCTTTCTTCCTCAGAGACCGCTTAGAAACAGAACCATCTGAACCCGGTGTCTCCATTGCCCTAGACCGTGCCCTCTCCACGACAACTTCTTAACCCAAATCAAGTAATCAGCTCAAAAACAAATAAAAAACACAACACCCCATATTGGCATTTCATTTCAAGCAATTCCCTCACGACCCATTAACAGCATGTTTTCGGATTCTCGAATTGAGACATTGATTATCTTTACACACAAATTGAACAGCAAACTCACATATATCAATCCATATCCTCAAATCCCATGTTGTTTCTAACCCCAACTACGGATTTCAACCAAGAAAGTCACTGTTAATATCACTCAGACTGACAGTACGAGCTACAATTAATTTAAATACGAGTCCTAATTTCCCCAATTTTGTACCCAAAATTCAATTCAGCAGTGGGTGTAAAATACATTAGAAGTTTGTGTAAATGTTTAGGGAAATTGAAAGTGAAGGGCGACTCACCTGGTTGGACCGAGTTGAATCGGAAACGGGACGATTTGGAAGGGTTTGTCCAGTAGGAGTTAGGGTTTTTCTGGTGCGAGCATACGAAACGAGTTAACCGAATTGGGGGATTGGAGGGAAATAAAGGGGCGGTGGGCTTAGAGAAGGATGATCAACGCCGGACTTGCAAAAGAGGAGATCCACTCACGAATCGTTTGGGCCTGGACTTGTAGACAAGTTAATAGTTTTAATTAACTTTGTTCAAAAAAAAAAAACAAAAACATAGTTTTAACCAACTGAAATCCAAGTCACTTTTTATGCTCATTTATTTTCTTTACTGTTGTAGGGTAAAATCCGCCATTTCGGTGTTACAAGCTGTTGACCCTAAAAACTACCAAGCCTACGTGGCGCACATGCCGAGAATTTAATAAGCTAACTATGTCATTCGGTTGTGTGCAGGGCATGCCAACTCGACGGCCGAGCTCGGCTGGTGATTAAAATGAGTTGATGTTGCATTGAGCGCGCTGCTGACTTCTTGATCTTGCGACTGCGGTCGAGGAAGAAACACGTCTCGGCCTTTGGGTTCTAGAGCCTGAAGACAAAGCTGCTAGTTCTGCGAAGTTCAATATCAAATTTGGCTTTCAATGTGCCAAATGTAGTAACTTGTAACACCTCACTTCGCCGAGAAGGCTAATGAGATGACATCTGCCAATAAGGATTCAAAAATCCTTATCGACCAAGACTTGAATAGATAACCAGTCGGCCATGTCGCAGTGCTGTTTATCCAAACTGAAGGTGCTTCACGGTCGGCTGATTCTACGGCGACAGTGTTGTTTATCCAAACTGAAGATGTTCGCCGGTTGCCTTCACAATGTTGTTTATCCAAATTGAAGATGTGTTGGCGAAAAAGAAAATAAAAATCTCAAGATGTTTGAGAGGTTTTGCGTAGAGCGAGGGTTTGCGCAGGGCAATTTGTGTGTTGAATTGGAGATCCCTCTTCCGTTGCTATTGCATCTGTATTTATAGGACTGATGTACTTGCTTGGCACGGCTTGATTCTCGAGTAGAGTCCTATTTCAAAATCCCATGTATCCAACGTGACTTAATCTTTAAAGGATTGCATTTGATCTCTGGTGACGTGGCTTCACCACTTGCTTTCCTCCATCCATCTTCACAGCACCAACCCGAGAAGCATGCATTAAAAACCCACCTCATCATCACATCACCAAAAAACCTATGTTCTTAGGCTTGATCTAAATAATATTAAATTGATTTCATCTCATAATTTCATCACCATAACCTTTATCCATCATCATATCCTTCTGCCGAAGACCATGCATGCATGATGACTTCTTCACCAACTTAAACTCTAAAAAGTAACTTTAACTGATGAAATATAATCACCGTATCCCTTACATACAACCACGTACACCAATCCCATCCATGAATTCCAAGTCAATTTGAATTGTACCATCCACTTTTATATCATAACTAGGACTTTGGTTTTAATAATAATCGGCCACGTAGGAGATTGCATCATAATATTATTTCTCAATACTAACTAAAAATCATTTCAACCACTTTATCATCCAACAGCCTAAAATCCTGCTCATTCAACGGCCTCGATTGCACGGACTGATGATGTAAAAACGGGTCCAAACACAAGCACACCAAAATTGGATTTCCTATAAGTACCTATAAACAAAATTTATTTCTTAAAATAAATCGTTAATTAGTACTATGATGAGGAAAAACATCTGATTAACCTTTTATAATACTATTCTTGCAATTGATTCCTTAATGTTAGTGAACCTAACAGATATCCAAGGTTGAAAATGTTAAGTAGTTATTTGTAATGTTTTAAAAGGTTAAGATCAATTTAAAATCACCCTAGTGGTTGGGTAGTTATACGAACTTAATCCTTGAATTTAAAACCTTCTTAGGCCATTCTTTGAGGAAGGACTTACATGAAACGGGTTAACTATGTCACATACCTAATAATACATTGCCAAGTGCAAGTTTTCTCCACATGGTATTATATTATTGAATTGAGGCGCAAGGTAACGATGAATCCGTTTCATGTAAGTTGCTCTCTACTTGAGGAATGCCTATCCTGAGATATTAAAAGATGGACTCAATTAGGAGGATCCCTAAATAAACAAATGCTTATGTTGTGACCCTAAATCCGTGAGGTTATTATTGTCAGAATATGTAGTATAGATTCATTGCCAGGTTGCTAACAAAGAACATTACTCTTAACAAATAACATAAACAAGGTGTTAGTTTTAGGGTGTTGGGATTTTATCCATGCGTCCAGGATTTGAAAATTCTTCCTTCCTAAATTATTGTAATAATTTCAAACCCCCCCTTCCTTTATTATTAAAAAAAATACGAACAAGGTAAAATATTGTTTAAGTTCACAAGATAGTTTCCCCATTGAGTTTTTAATTCAGACCAAAATCTCAACTGGGTTAGTCAATTTCCTCGTCGCTGCCTCCCATCATGGAGGAAATCGTTCAAATTTACAAGCTGGTCAATTTCCTAGTCTTTATGCAAAATTTGTATTGGGATTTTGATTTTCGATTTCTCTGCAACCCATGTATGATTTGCTCTAGAAAGCCATGAATTTTTCAATTATTTTCATACTGCTAGAAGTGATCGTTGTGGCTGGCAGGTGTCAGGTTTTTTTTTTTTTTGAAGTAAATTAAAAAAGGCAAAATAAATAGTAGTATGTGGAAGACTTAGTCCAATACTACATCAAATGTTTTACTATTTTTATACTTTTACACTAAAAATTAGGATAATCCTGTGTTTGTTCCCTACCTGGACTAGTTTTAATGGTATTAAGAGGGACTCACCTCAACAAAACAGCTCGCTAGCTGGTTTTAGCGAATCTCCCCCCGCAAAGCATAGGATTGCTAAGACCATCTCAACTGGGTTCACGTTCATCTGTTTCGCTTCATCAAGTGACTTCTCGATCTGACTACACAACTTAGATTTGCGTTTCACAATCTGGGTATCTTCCAAAGGCATTGCCTTGGGCTTATCGGCCTCGATTCCAGACGGCATGGCCTTAGGGTGTGACTTTACCTTTGCTCAATGATTAATTGGGGTTTTAAATCCTTTTAAATTGTTTTGATTAGTTTTAGTTTGTGGGTTTCTTGTTCTTTGATCGATGGTGTTTTTACTTTTTTGGGTTTTCAATTTTGTGCAGTGGCTATTCATCTGAGAGCTACTGGTGATGCTCTTGTACTCTAGCAAGCCAAATTCAAGCTTTGCCTTTTGTGGTTACATACTTACAGTATGTATATAAATCTTGGAAATATCTTGCTACTTAGAATTCGAACAAGTTTAGAATTTTGATTGTGATTGATGGAGCTGTGTGAAAATATTAGCCTTTTAAAATTTGATTATATTCTTCAGATGGTTGGCTATTCATTATGCCGATCGTCGAAAAATTTGTTCTTTATTTGTAGTTTTGAATCATTGGGGGTAATTGGAATTAATTTGGAAGGCTAGGAATTGAACTAGAACTAGAAGTTAGTCCAGCTTCTAGTCCGACACTGCACCAAACGTTTCACTAAGTTAATCCAGCTTAGTCTAGTCTAAGCCAGTCCAGCTTAGTCCCTGAAGCTAGTCCAGTGCAACAAACGCACCCTTAGTTCCTAAAGCTTGTTCAATCTAAAATAATTCGGTGCAACAAACACTCCTTAATGGGTTATGTAAGTAACATATAAAGAAAGGTTGAATAGACATTTGATTCCTGGTCAGTTTGAAATTTGTATTCATCCATTTGTGTATCTTTTGTGGCAAATTTTTGAGTAGAAATATCTTCTACATTGTCCAATATTGGTCACCATCAAAATATTGCCTGATTTTATAAGGCTTTGTCCTTATTAGAATGTGATTGGAGTATTTGACCTTGGAGAGTAAAATTGAGTTCAACCTTAAGTTTTGAGCTTTGGTGGGATATGCTAATTAATTGATAATTAATATATAATTAATTATAAAAATGAGCTCTTGGGCTCGGGCTCTAATAATTAAATTCCTTAATTATTCATTTTTAATGAATTTCAAATTTAATTAATGAATTAATTAATTTTTATATCAATAGACTCATCTTTTCAGATGAAGTCTGAAGCGATGAAAGAACGCCAAAGAGCAAAACACCAATTTGAGAAGATGTCTCACAAAAGACGCATCTCATATTCATACCTGTTGCGAACATGCATAAATCAATTATATATACATCAATCTGCATGACATTTAGAACACAGAAAAATCAAATTCTTCTTTTACAATCCCAAACCTTTTTACTAAGAGAACCACAAAGAAATTCGCCAGAAGTGTAGTTTTTCAGTGCCAGAATATTGATTTAGATCTTTGAATCCTGGTGAAGCAGACGTCTATAGAACTACAAGCACAGAGTAGGGACAAAATTCTATTTCAAGGACATTGCGGTACACAAGCCTTGATCTTTAGTTTGTCTGTTTAATATTATTTCGTTTTGTTCATACTCTGTTAAATTATTTATTTACATTTATTATTTATTAGCATATATAAATTTATCATTGATTATTGATATTTATCCAACATCTTTGAAGTAAAAGAGATAGAAAATTTCATACATTTGAAGAGCATTCAAAGTAGGGGTGGGTTCAAAAAATTGAAAACCGAAAAAAACCGAACCAAACACCGAACCGAGACCGAAAAAACCAAGCCAAACGAAAAAACCGAACCGAACCGAATTCTTTTGGTTCGGTTTCGGTTTCAGTGGTCCAGAAACCGAACCGAACCGAATTAATTAAATTAATTTTTTTAATTTTTTTTAATTTAATTATCTATTTTGGGTATTATTTTCTAAACCCAATTTGTAAGTCCAAATATGCTAAGCCCAATATGTTGCTAAACTTCAAGCCCAAAATATAGAAAAAAAGCTTTACTCTAAACCCTAGCCTATTATTTATTCCCTTTCTTTTCTTTGACCCTAGCCGCACTCACCATCTCTCCATCTTCCCTCTCTTTCATTTCTCTCTTCTGCACGCCAGCCACACCTTCATTGAATGACCTTTTATGTTTCCTCATCCTCCATTTCCAGTCCATCACATGTTTCCCGCACCTTCATTGAATGACC